ATACCTGGACAGCTTGATCTAAAGCATGCACACACAACTAAGATCAAAGGTTGATCCACTAAGAGATGTTATTATAATTTCTGTGGTGCAAATTCTTTATTTGGGGGATTGTCAGTGATTGTCAGTACTGACTTTTCAAGATTTTTAAATGATGTATTTTTAGAAGCCTCAATAACTGAATGAAACAAAGGAGTGAACATCATTTCTAAAATCAGATTATATCATAAATATGAACATTTAAGACTTGCATTCCCAACATGCAAGAACTGTCTTATAAAGCAGAACTTAATTCTGTTGCTACTTGTACATATGGAGAAAATTTAAATCAGGTGCTGACATCTAGCATTTACAAAATGATCTTGAATACAGATTGAGTAGTCTTTTTGCTAGATTAAGAGGAATGTTTACTGAAATGGAGCCTGGCAGAAAGTGTAATATTTGGCTATTTTGAAAAAACAGAACATATATGGGCCAAAGTATCTAAATTTTTTGAATTTGTAGGAACAAGTACCTAGTCATGACTGACACATTGTCTTTTCTTTCAGACCAAGTGCAAAAAGACGCTACAAGAATCAGAAATTCGGCTTTGGTGGCAGAAAGAAAGGGTCCAAATGGAACACCAAGGAAAGCTATAATGATGTGTCCAGCTTCCGTGCTAGCAAAGTCCACAACAAGGGAACTGGCAAAGTGGGAAAAAGGGGTGCCAAAGTAAGTTCCAGCTGGGTTATTACATGCTACAATTGGATCACTAGAGGATCATGTGTGACTGTGCTGATAAGACTAATGAATTCTATATTTTTTCCCTCTCTTTTCAGAAGAGGCCTGGCAAAAAGATGAGGCAGAAAATTAAGAGCCGTTCCCGATAAGGATTGGAAATGAAATGACATTTTGAACCCAGCTCGTACACAATATTGGCATATAGCCAGGAACAGATATCGGACTTGAACCTCCCTGGTTGTGGATGTGCTGTGGAATGGCAGATGTTTCTACTTGATACTGAGCACAATATAATTCACACACAAATGGCAAACAGATGCTTTTTGTTGCCTTTCTTTCAGACTAGTCTGATAATTCTTAACTGAATTAAAAGTATTGATGGTTTCATCCTTCTTCTTTAGGTTTGGAAAGACACATGCTGGAATATTTGAGAAAGATACCAGAGTCCTTCAGTTCTTTGCCTATTGTGCAAAACCAAGGTTGGGCTTGCCAAGTATGGCAGTAGTACCTGTGTTTAACCGCTTCATTATTTCCTTCACATAATTGCACTTGATTCTCTCTTGAGTATCATGAATTGTGCATATAAGTACTCAAGAGAGATGGCATAATTATGAATGAGAAATTCATTGCCTAGGTATCTTAACATGAAAAACACACACATACTCTCACTCAAGATTTGGGAACAAGTTTATTTTGCAACCACTAAAAGTTCAAAGAGCAAGACAGCTTCCTTTCTTAAAATAACCAACTACGATGACAAGATGGTAATCTTGCAGGGCAGAAATCCTAAATTAAAGTTTAATGTCTTCACAGTAAAATCCCTTGATGTTACTACGCCCTTATTTGCTTTTGGTCATCGCCTTCAAGCGCCACATAGCATCCATGTACCTGCTGATTTCAGTGCTCCGACTTGGGAAGTGCAGCCTATTATCGTTCCGGTTGATACTGATCTGTGAAAGAGAATATGATTTTAATATAAGAGCATTTAAATAAAAAGGAACAAAGTGTTGGATGCTTCAATATAACTTACTCTCATCTGACAACCCATTTGATGCTACCTGAACCCTTTCAAGGCTTTCTAAAATGGTATCTTCCTGTGAAGGCTCATCTTAATCATGGCAGTATTTCAAAATTTGCATGGCAGTCTTCCCACAATATTTAGCTTTCACTGAACTCCTACTTACCAATGGGGTGGAAAACCAACCAATTTCCTGACTTTCAGTTTGGGGTTCTGTGTATTTCTTGGGTGGCTCAAGTACAGCATGATGAATAAGGTTTAGGAATTTAGCTGTTGAGTTAAAACAGTAATTAGGTAAATTGGGTGTGAAATAATAAATGTGTGCAAGTAGATTACTTAGAATTATGTAAATAGTTCTATTGAACATTTAATGATATTTTGGTTTGCATAACTTACAGGTCTGTATCCAAAATTAGGTATTTTACTTTGGAATATACAGTGCATGATGCTATTCAAGAAATACTGTCACAAGATGATTGACATAAAATAGAACACCAAAACAAACACAAAATTTTACTTTATTAAATTGCTCTAATGGTTCTTTCTGGGGAAAAGTTAGGCAGCTTTGGTGTGGCATTTATATCTTGTATGTTTAATGAAGCAAAACTGCAAAACATTCCTTTTGTGTGCTAAATTGACAAACATACTTAAATGTGAAAATATGCATTTAACCTTTTCCTGTATTTAATGCTAGATTGTAGATCATGAACAATTTCTGCCTAGTAACGTTCTCATATTTTTGTATCATGGGTTCTCATTCTGATCTAGATTTTGCCCTAATTTTTGCTTGGCATCTGGTTCCCTTGCAATTCCAAGAAATTTTATATCCTGCTGTTTTAGACAATACTTAGCATAATTTATAGAAATACAGAAGCCAATACAAAATATAATTGCAGAAGATACTTTTTTGGGAGAGGCAAAAAAAGTCCTACACTTGATCTTGGCCAAGAAGCAACCCATACATCCATCTAATCAACCCACTTTTTGTTTTAGAATACTTTTAGATTTTTGTTTGCATTTGAATGTGTTTTGTTTCACATTCTGGTGAGAGAAGTTCCCTGAGGTGGGCTTCAGCATGAGTTCGAAAGCTCAGAAGATTAAACCTTCTGGTCCCAGTGACCAACCCAGATTGGACCTTGCAAAATAAATTTAGTTATATTTCCTCTTCATTTTTCTCTTACCTCATGCCCTAACTTCTTTGCAGAATTTTACACGATGTTGGTTAACCCACAAGAGAATAGTATGATGGGCTTGTATGAATAAAAGGTCTGAAATCAAATTTGATGGCATCATTTTACAGACAGGAAATGTAAGCACTTTTTTGAGCAAAGGTAGTACCAGTAGTAATAGGCGCCTTGGGTGCAATCCCAAAACAACTGGAGCACCACTTGAACACCATTAGCTTTGACAAAATTCACGACTCAATTGCAAAAGGCAGCTTTACCTGGAACAGCTTACATCCTGCAACAATATCTGTAACATCACCAAACATCTACACTGCCTATCCCAGGTCCTTGGAAAGAGCTTGATAAGTGGATAAAAATGCCAGATCCAATCTGAACATCTGGCTAACTGCGATGAACCGTAATAATACATTAGGACATTCTAGGTACGTGGGGAAAACTATGCATACGAAAGCAAATATCAGCTAAAGGATTGGCAGCTTCACATTGTTGTGAAAGATAGTAATACTAAACATTTGGCAATCGACCATAATAATAAAATATCAGCATCTATAACAAACTGCAATTTAAAAAAAAAACTGCTGTAACAGTGTCTTACCATCTGCAGGCTCCTCTAAGTTATCATGCCAAGAGGCAGGTTTCCCAGTTAAGGCATGAACTGGGGGTAAAAGCAAGATTATGGAATTAGCTATTGCTGATCTTCAAATTAAAGCTGTCTTAAACTTCATTTTAGACTAAGAGAATGAGAAAGTTCTCCTTATCTTGATTTCTTTGGGAACATTTAGAACAACATTTAGTTTGAAATGCAGACTTTTGCAAAACCAAAAACATGCATAGAATGATTTCAGCCAGGTCTCTATCTTTCACCACACTCCCTTTATATATCAATATGGTCTACATCAGGCTTTGATTACATTCAATGGCAAGGATACATTTAAAAAAAAAGGGGGGGGGGAGGGAGCAATATAGGTAGTCGACTTATGACGCCAAATGAGCCCAAAATTTATGTTGGTGAGTTGAGTTTTGCCACATTTTACGACCCTTCTTGCCACAGTTGTTAAGTGAATCACTGCAGCTGTTAAGTTAGCAACATGGCCGTTAAGTGAATCTGGCTTCCCCATTGACTTTGCTTGTCGGAAGGTCACGAAAGCTGATCACATGACCCCAGGACATTGCAACCGTCCTAAATATGAACCCGTTGACAAGCACCTTAATTTTGAGCATGTGACCATGGGGATGCTGCAACGGTCATAAGTATGAAAAACGGTCACAAGTCACTTTTTTCAGTGTCCTTGTAACTTTGAACGGTCACTAAATGAACTGTTGTTAAGTCTAGGATAGGGGTAGTCAACCTTGGCTCTTTTATGACTCGTGGACTTCAACTCCCAGAATTCCTGAGCCAGCTAAGCTGGCTCAGGAATTCTGGGAATTGAAGTCCTCGAGTCATAAAAGAGCCAAGGTTGACTACCCCTGGTTCTAGGATTATTTGTATTTCACAAAACTGCCTTCTTCTTCCAGCCCCACTTACCTTTCATGAGCGGGTTTAAGGCATACTCGGTATGCAGGCGCTGGCATCGCAGCTCCTTCCGGACCGTCTCACAGAAGATCTTGTTCTGACTTACCGGGTCCAATGGTTCCTTTACGCCCCCCTTAACCGCAGCCATGCGGCGTTACTTAGAGCGACTGTCAATCGCTCCAGAACCTCTGCCGACGCTTTCTCTGGGCTGAGCGTATCCAGGGGCGGAGATCGTCGCTTCTGGTCTCCAAGCTACGTATTGACGAAGAACGTCGCAAGCCGGAAATGCTAACTCCTCCTCTCCTTCTCTTGATTGGCTGAAAAACTAAAGCTTCCAAAATGCTGATTGGTCGTTGCGGCCGGTAGAAGATATTTGAATCCGCATGAGTCCGCAGCACGACCACGGCGGAGAAAGGCAACCTTAACGTGAGAATGTCTTTTCAAAACCCGGCTTGTTCAACAGCTAGCTGAGGTGTCTGTTCCGCACAGGACGTAGACTTTAGTCGTTCTCGATCTCGTTCTGTCATGTTTGTGTGTTGCTGCTCTCTCGTCTTCACGCCTTAGAATGCAACCGGCAGAAGACTCAGAGCTGGATGGGAGGATTCGCTGCACCGTAGCAGTTGAGCATCTGGGTGCAGCGGCGGCCCCGAATCGGCTGCTCCTGAGAGATGCCTGGGTCACCCTTGGGCGGAATGAGTTCCGCGAACTGGTATTACAGGTGACGAACACCTCGGGTCCGGGCCGTCTGCAGAACTTCCCTTTGCGACAGAATGAAATGCGACTCTTCACACGTTTTGTGAAGGATGGGAAGAGCTCGATCCGGTTGGGTCCCTTAGGTTCCAATTATGTACAGCTGCTGCTCTCTAATTGTCCTCCGGATCGCTTGCGTCGCTTTGTTCAGACTCTGCGCATCAAATTTGAAGCCACCCAGCACAGAATGAAGCCGGTGGCTGAGCGGACAAGGCTCCTCTCTAGCTTGCCACGCACATTTGACACAGTAAGCCCGGTGCAAGTCCGCGATTTGCAACAAACAAATGCCAGAGAAGCTCTGGCTAAGGTTACAGCCACCCCCAGGAAAGGACAGACTTTATGCTGCAGGTCTCGGAAGCGTCCAATGGAATCAGTGGATGGGAGGCAGGTAAGCTATCATCTGCCTGAAAAGTTAATACAGTATTTGCTTATACTATAAGCATCAATAATACTAAACACTAAAGAAAAGATACCGTCATACCCTCTGATGGTACTTTCCCCAAATCCAAGAAGGCCATTGACTGTGTTGATTAGATGATAACATGTTAGGAAGATAGATTTTATTAAAATTTACAAATAAAAGGAGAAAAAACTAATACAAACTAAGAAAAATAGAAAGAAGAAAAGTAGAAATAAAAACAAAATAGAATATATACATAATACATATACATCTATTTCCACCAGAACTGAACCTGCACTCCCAACTCATCTTCCCTCGTTCTTTCCTTCCCTTTTTGGCAAAGAGATAAAAGTGTAAACCTTTAATGGCACTCAGCCACTATAATAATAAGTTCTGATTTCCTGAGGTTCAAATGTATGGTTTTTGCCTTTGGAACATCAGTTAAAATATGGATTGTCCACCAGATGACTGAAGAACAGCAGGTGAAGAAGCCTTGGTTGATGAGCTCCAGAGCAACCCTTTCCCAGGAGCAGTCAAGAGTGCTGAGTGCTGTGTTGAGTGGAAAGAATGTCTTCTTCACAGGGAGTGCTGGTAAATGAAAAGGGGTGAGAAGGGTGTATATGATTAGTCACTTCAAATTAGGAATCCCAGATCTTTCCTATGACTATGGTGGGGATTCAAGCTAAATAGCTCCCACTGCTTTTATTCATAAGAGATTTACCTAATGATTTCTGGATTTCTTTTGAGTGTGTATGAATAGATTTTCATTTTTTTGTGGAGTTCTTAGTGATAAACTGCCTTTTTTTAATTGTCAGACCTGTAAATCACAAGTTCACTTTTGTCAGTAAAAAAAGTCCAAAGGGTAAGAGCAAATGGTCTAAGGTCATGCTGCAAATAAAAAAAAATGAAGATTCCAATAGAACTGAATAAATGTAGCTCGGGGTTGAACAGTGGAGTTCTTGGTGATCTCTGAGTTTGGTTTGCTCACAGATGTTTTATTACCTGATCAAGGTAATATCAGTGCTACACTGTGTAAAGCAGACATGTCAAACACAAGGCCCGGGAGCCGGATGCGGCCCGTGAAGTGGTTTCATGTGGCCCGCGAAGCCATCCTGGAAACAGTGAGGGAACGGCCCCCGCTGCCTTGGCCCTGGCCCTGGCCCAGGCCGGCCGGGAGCCAATGTACAATTTTGTGGTGGCCATCTATGCTGAAACGTATTCAGTCTTAGCTCCACAAGGCCATCTGGAAACAGTGAGGAACCAGCCCCTGCCGCATTGGCCCCACCCCCTGGGTGCATGCTGGGGAGGTGTCACTCTTTATGAGGAATGAAGAAATGCACCATCGCCTGGAAGTGGCCAGCAAATGGCCCTCGCCTACTTCACATATCCGGCTTGATGGGCTCTGCCCTGGTCCCACCCCTTTCTGCCAGAGACCCTCAGATCTGTCCCACTCCTGCCCAGGCCCCCACAGGCACCCTTGACGCGAATGATATAGAGCTGGCCATGCCCACCCAGTAGGCCACACCCACTCTATCTACACCCACCCAGTCGGCCACATCCACCCGGCCCCCTGAGGGCAACCACAATGCTGATGCGGCCCTCAATGAAATTGAGTTTGACACCCCTGGTGTAGAGTATGCTCCCTGTTTATATACAGTAGCTTGTTCTGCCATGTTGGTGGGGTTGGCATTTTCTCCTTGGTAGTTCCTTGATTAGGATATTGTAAAATCCTAATTCCGAGGATTATTGGGTATTGTAAAATCTTAAATCCAAGCATTACTGTATTGTAAATCAATATCCTAATTAAGGAACTACCAAGGGGAAAAAAAACCCAAGACTGGGTGGGGCAAACTACTATAAATAAACAGGGAGCAAACCCCACTCTCACTAGCACCGATGATGTTACCTAATCAGGTAACGAAACATCTACAAGCAAATAACCAAGCTCAGAGATCATCAAGGACTCCACCGTTCAACACCGAACTATATTTATTCACTTCTTTTGGAATCTTCATTTTTTATTTGCAGCATGACCTTAACACTATTTGCTCTTACCCTTTGGACTTTTTACTGACAAAAATGAACTTGTGATTTATGCATTTGAAAATTAAAAAGACAGTTTATGGAAAGAAGGAAGCTAGGATGTAACCGTAGAGAGAGGGTAAAATGTAAATGCATTTATAATTGCTGCAAAGAAGATCATAAGACGCTTCTTTATAATTTTTCCTTTCCCCCCCTTTTTTCTATTTTTTTCCTTTCCTTTTTTTCTTTTCTCACTATGCACTATTTTTCTCTATGTGCTCTATTTCTTTCCAATGGTTTTTACTTTGTTAAAATTTCTTTAATACACACACACAAAGTCCCCGGTTCAGTGGAATTGCTCTGTTTTAAACTGACCCACTGTTGCATCCTAAATACCAACACTTAAGCACAGGAAACTTTGTACAGTACTTGCCATTTAAATAGTCCCTAAATAATAATAAATTGTAGAGAGGAGAATATGAGCAACTTTGAATGAATTGAGCTGAATGTTGTTTCTCTAACGGTAACTTTTGTTTTCAAAGGAACCGGAAAATCCTATTTACTGAAAAAGATTGTGGCCTCCTTTCCTCCAAATGGCACTTACGTCACAGCCAGCACAGGAGTGGCAGCATGTCAGATTGGGGGCATCACACTCCATGCTTTTGCAGGTAACGAGTTCAAATCCTGGGAAGGAGAGAGGTTGGAAAGAATTTAGGCCTGGTATGCCACTCTCGTGCCCTCTTAATTTCCCCTTTGTAGGTATTGGGTCAGGAAAGGCCCCTCTGCATCAGTGTCTTGAGCTGGCTCAGAGACCTGGGGTTCGGCAGCAATGGCTGAATTGCCGCTGTCTGATCATTGATGAGATCTCAATGGTGGAAGGGGAATTCTTTGATAAACTGGAGGCAGTTGCTAGGTATGTAGAACCTCCTTTTCTGAATGTATTCCTATACTTACACTGTTCCTAAGTAAATGGATCTAGAACACCACAGGAAGCGTTGCAGACAGCTAAGGAGCAGTCACCTTATGGATATTAGATTAGCTTCTTCCTACATGACATTTAGAAGTTTGTTGAAAACAGAGTTTTTCCACAGAAGGTTCACAATCCTTAACTATTATGCCATCTTTTTTTAATTTCTATTTTTGTTAGTTTTATTGTTAATCTCTATCTTGGCTATTAACTTTATGATTTATTTTCATCACTTTAATCCTATTGTACCATAGGTTTTTTTTTACTTATATAAACTGCTGAGAGTCATGAGATTTCAGCAAGATAGATATTCAACCACCTCTCTCTGCTGCAGTAATAAAGCGTTAGTAACTAAAAGATTGGTCATCTGGTTAACTCATGAACTGGCTTAGATTCTAGCTGTGACTCTTAATCTCAACTTCACTAACTCTTGAGCATACTATGAAGCACGTAATATATTCTCCATCCACCCCACCAAAAGTATCTGAAATCCCTGAAGCACTTTTCAGGTTTTGAAAGGGAATGTGCCAATGGTGTGATTAACCCTTAGAGGAATTATGGACTTTTGCAATGGATTGGAAACCTGTGGGAGATTAGGACTGTAGCCACTATTGTCACTGTACTTCTCGAGAGAAGAGGGAGGGAGGGAGGAAGGAAGGAAAAAAAGGAAATAAGAAAAAAGAAAGCCAGCTGTTGGAAATGGGAGTATGGCTTATCCTTTCATAATCTGGAGCTTTTCCAGCTTGATTGGGAATCCTGGAATTGCAGACCTAATACACTAAAAAAGGTGATTTTTGAATACTGCATTCAATTTTCTTGGCCCAGATCATTAAAAAACCTCTTTTGAATCTTTGTTCTGTTTGCTTTCTGGCTAGAGATGTCAGGAAATGTGAGGATCCATTTGGAGGAATCCATCTTATCATTTGTGGAGACTTCTTGCAATTGCCTCCCGTTGCCAAGGACCACAGGCAGCCCAAGTTCTGTTTCCAGGTCTGTTGCCATTGCTGCTGTTTCTAACTATGTGGTCAGTCGCTAGCTGACCAGGAATGTGCTTTTACAGGCAAAGAGCTGGAGAAAATGCATCCATCTCAATATGGAGTTGACAGAAGTTCGGAGACAGGCTGACAAGGAGTTCATTTCTCTTCTGAATGCTGTCCGTCTTGGCAGGTGAGATATCTCCTTGTTCATTAGAACCATCAGGTGGGAAAGGATGGGGGTCTGTCCTCTTGGGATGGAATGACCGAAACCTAGAGATCCTTCTTTTCCCATCTCTCCCTCATTTTATTTCCAAATGTTGACAGTGTTATATGTGCCAAGCTTGAATGCTGACTGAAGTTTCATCATTTTCTTTTAATTCTTCACAAAATTTCGAATGTAACGTTCTTTGAATGGTGGGATCCTAAGAGAAATGTTGGGTGATATTTGCCACCAATGAAATAATTTGTGGCAATTGTTATGGTAACCTTTCTGATTCATTGGTTCAGCTATCACTACCCAGGCCGGTTGGAGTTGATGGAATTGTACTGTAACACACATGGAGTTAAGTGGGATAGGAAGTTAGTGTGGAGGAATGGTCTTTTTTCCTCAATAGGCAGGGAAACATACAGTACAATTTATCAAATAGATAAATATTTAGTGTTTTCTAGAGTTGCTGTGATGCCGGGATTTCTGCACACCCATGGATCTCAATTACAGGTCTTAGCTCTTGTGATTTTAAATACCGCTACTGTGGGGGTATCAAACTGGTGGCCCTCAGGCTGGATGCGTCATGTGCAGGCCATGCCCACCCCGGGTCTGCAAAGACAAAAAACTGTCACGATACATCACAATACAACACGTGATGCAAACGAGTTTGACACCCGTGCTCTACTGCAATCTGACAGATGTACAGAGGAAGTCAACAGACTGCTGACCCAAACAATAATGCAAAAAGTGGAGAGAGATGGAATATTGGCTACGCGGTTGTGTACTCACAAGGATGATGTAGAGTTCACAAATACCATGCAGCTACAGCAATTATCTGGTAAGAATCAGGCAGCAATGCCTAGTGAGATATAGTAAGTAGCTCTTTCTTTGCCTTTGAGAAAGAATATGATTTCCAATACGAGTTGTAAAAACGTGGAACCAATAATAGGAATTATTTCATATCATTTTTGTTTTGAATGAAATGTGATATACTGTCTTATCAATTGTAGAGATTATAAGGTTGTACTTTGGGAATCCTGTGAACTCTTGATGTTCAAAATATTTGTGATTGTAGAAGGATAGACTGAGAGGCTTGTGGTCAGTTGCTGGAACATTATTTAGGAAGCATTTTTTCAAACTAAATTTAGCCAGAAGTTCCCCACTCATTTGCCCCAATTGGATAAATTTGGAAATTTGAGAATAGACTGTGGGGAAGATTCATAAACTAGATGCACTGTTGGGTTGTCTACTCACATAATTTTTCATATGAGTCACAGAAACTCCATTTCTCAGAAGTTAACCAGGTAGGTATGTTGCTTGCCAAATCTTTACTTTTCTGTTATTTCCCCCATCCTCCTCCCTCCCTGCTACTACTTTTATAGCAACTGCACTCATTTACAAATCTGTGCCCGGTAGTCCCCTACCTTGTTATTTGTTCAATATTTTAAAGGTCTTCATTTCTAGAGGCTGGAGCTTTAGTTTAAAGCAGTGGTGGCAAACCTATGGCACGGGTGCCAGAGGCGGCACTCAAAGCCCTCTCTGTGGGCATGCACACCGTCACCCCAGTCCTAGGCCTTCAGCTGGGTTTTATACAACCTTTTCGCTTTAGGCCTCTGCCGCCATGTGCAAAAAAAAAAAAGGTTCAATCAATCAATCAATTTCAACTTCTTGCGGGAAAAGAAAAGATCTTGCAAAGTTGGAGTTGATTGATTGAACTTTTTAGTCCCACCCAGTCTGCCGTTACCACCGCAGGCACGCCCACCCAATGGGCCACACCCACCCAGCACCCGACAATGCATAAGTGGGTTTGGAGTTGCAATTTGGGCACTCGGTCTCTAAAAGGTTCGCCATCACTGATTTAAAGCATGCCAGTTTCCATTCCTATTTATTAATTTGAAAAAGAAATTAACAAGTGTAGTGTTGCAGGATGTCTGAGAGGATATAAGTTTGCAACACTGCAATCAGAACTCTAGTAAATAAAATGTTATTTCTTTTCCAGGACAGCTAAGGTCTTTCAAGGCTGTTGACAGTGATCCTATGTTGGCAAAGACTCTTGATGCACAGTGTCCTGTGAAGAGCATTATTGAACTCAAGGAAGGTGCCCAGGTGAACAAACAAAACTGAGCACTGCTTGAGACAGAGGTGTTGTGGCTGCTTCTGAGATCCTTCTCTTTCTTTGCAACACATTCACATTTGGAATCAGATCTTGCTAAATGCTAGAGTCTCCTTGATTTTAACACCTATATCCTAATCGCTAAGCACTTCTCTGGATGATTCCCTTACCCACAAATGGGTGGAGGATGGTTTCGTTAGTATGCAGTGGAAGTAAATCTACTTTAGAAGGTGCCGTGGAAAAATCCACAAAAGCATTCCTGCGTCTTTCCTTTTTTAACAGGTGATGCTTACAAAGAATCTTGATGTTTCTCAAGGTCTGGTGAATGGGGCTCGTGGAGTTGTGATTGGATTTGAAACTGAAGGAAAAGGTTGGTTTCTGACAGGCACACACTTTGGATGCTCTCCTCATAGGTAGTCATGTGGTTTGGTTTCCTTTTGCAATGAAGAAAATACATTCAACTGCTAAGATTGTAATGCAACACTGGCATTAATATTAATAAAAAATAGGAAACTCATCAAAAAAGTTATGTCATATACTAGTGGTTCTCAACCTGTGGGTCGGGACCCCATTTGGGGTCGATCGACCATTTCACGGGGGTCGCCAAGCAAGGCTGTCCGCCATTTTTTTGTCCGCCATTTTTTTCCCCTTTTCCGGCGGGTGCCTTACCTCCCTTAGGCTGGGCCAGCTGGTGGTCGGCCTGCTCCGTCTCTGCCACTTGACAGCTATGCCTCGGCCGGCGCAGGGGGCAGAACCACGCATGCGCGGCGCTCCCGGGAAGGGAAAGTCCTCGACTTACGACCGGTTGGGTAGTCCTCGACTTACAACCGGTTTAGTCCTCGACTTACGACTGGTTTAGTCCTCGACTTATGACCGGTTTAGTCCTCGACTTACGACCGGTTGGGGTCGCAGCATTAAAAAGGTTGAGAACCACTGTCATATACAGAAAAACTTCCACCCTTCTTCCTTTGACAAATTTGTTTGAAAGTGCTGTCTAGTTCAGTTCTAACAAACTCCATTGCTACAGATCAAGTCCAGATTTCACTTTCTAATGTAATCCTGTGCATTCTTCCTTTAGAAGATTTACTATAGCCTTGCTTCACAGATAGTGGAGAGTCATTCTATAAAATACTGTGATAGATGGTAGTTTGGCATATTACCTACACAGGTAGTCCTCAACTTACAACTGGTTGCATAGCAACCTTTTGATACTTACAATCTGGTTTTAAAGTTCTGATCCCCCCCCCCCCCAGGCTTTGTGCCCTATGGGCACAGTTAGGGTGCTTGCCAACCAGATTTATTTATGACTGCAATTTTTGGCATTTTTGGGAGGGGCTGGAAATCGCCATTTACTTCTGTTTTCTGGCAAAAACCAATGGCTTCATTTAATGACCATGAGAGTTCATTTAACTTCAGTGTTTGCTTAATCCCTGCAAAAAAGTTAATAAAATCAGGCATGGTCATATGGTGACACCCTTAACAACAGCTACAACCTATGAGGCTAAATTATGGTTGTTAGTTGAGGATTACCTGTAACCAACAGTAGTGACATATTGCAGTACCGGATAATAGATGTAGATGTACTTACTCTGACTTGTGTTTTACTATAGGTCTGCCTAAAGTGAGATTTCTTTGTGGCGTGACTAATGTTATTGGATTGGAGCGATTGGTTTTTAAAGGGCCAGGAGGCACTTACCTTACTCGCCAACAGATACCCCTGAAGCTGGCCTGGGCCATTTCTATCCACAAGAGCCAGGTTTGTTATCCATCTTATTTTTGTGGGAAACAAAACAATAATAATGGTCTATCACTGGACTTCTCTAAGTAACAGCAGAATTTTCCTTTTTGTACTAGACTCTTTATCAGTGTTAAAATGCTGAAAAATTATTAGTCAATTCTGTTCTTTTTTGCCCATACCTGATGGAATCCAACTTGTTTTGTTCCTACCAATGATTTATAAAACTGAGCAGACCAAAATTGCACACTAAATGTCATTAAGGTACAGCTTTATCCCTAAACTTTAAAATAGATCTTATAATGCACAGGTAATCCTCTGTTATTGACTATTTCTGTTCAGTTACTGTTTAAAGTTACAACAATGTTGAAAAAATAATAACTTTACAGCTCATTTATGACCTCTGTAGCATCCCTCCGTCATGTGATTGCCATTACAGTTCGTAGGCATCCTCCTGTGCCCAACTGGTGTTCCCCCCCTCCATCTCACAGAGTAGATTAATTGAAGAGAAGGGAATTGGAAGAAAATAAGCTATTTGCTTTTCTAAAAGCAATCCGATCACGTCAGTAGCCCAAGGCTGGGAACCACAGGCATAGTACTCTCTAGAAATCGCTTTCCACTCTCTCTGCTTTGCAGGGTGAGGGAATGAAAAAGCAATTTCTGTAAGCAATCTCCCCTCTGTCTGACCTTTTCCTACTGCCAGTACAACAACCTTTCTGTTGAAGTTTAGAAGAGCAACAACTTACTTTCTTGAAATCTCTTTCTATCCAATTTCTCTATTCTGTGGTGGGGAGGGTTAATAAGAGTAGTGATTTCTGTAGGCAATTTCTCCTTCACCTGACCCCCACCCACCCAGATAACATCATCAGTGAGAATATGGGTGAGTTTTCCTCCTTGTTTATATATAGTACAGGTCAGGGGTAGGCAACCTTGGCTCTTTTATGACTCATGGACTTCAACTCCCAGAATTCCTGAGCCAGCTATGCTGGCTCAGGAATTTTGGGAGTTGAAGTCCACGAGTCATAAAAGAGCCAAGGTTGCCTACCCCTGGTACAGGTAGTTCTCAACTAACAACCAAAACTGGGACTGGAATTTCGGTCAGAAGTTGTTGTAAATCAAGGTACCCACGAGATTGGACTTAGGTTTTTTTACTGTTTTTAGAGCAGTTATTACGTCCAAATTACACAATAATTAAGTGAAGCAAATCCATTATCTTGAATGGTTTTGGCTGGAAACTGGCCAAAAACACTGGAAACTGGGGGAAAAAATAAACCATGGTCACGGGACTGTGGGACATGGCATCTGGTCATAAATGTGAACCAGTTGCCAAGCACCTGACATGCAGCCACATGACTACAGCGGTATCTTTCTCCACTGTGTCTTCAAACGGTCATTACATGAATGTTCATAAGTCAAGGACTACTTGTAACTTGTCCTGCCAATTTTGGTGGGAAACCAAAAGAGCCAAAACACATCGTCTCCAGTAGCCAACATCCAGATAATCAGGGATTAGCACTAGACAAATAATCACACACAATACAATGCCCTAATCAAGGAAAAAAACATACCCTCACCAATATTGGCAGGGTAAGCTACTATATATAAACAGGGAGCAACCTCCCCCTCACATACACACATACAGTACACACCAGTACTGATATTACTTGGCCTGGTAATGAAACATCTGTGAGAAACAACCAAGCTTGGAGAGCATCAAGGTCTCCACAGTTATCTGGGTGTTTGGAGCCCTAATCTGGTAACCCCATTATACCATTTAAAGTTCTATCCCAGTGTTTCTCAACCTTGACAATTTTAAGGCATGTGGACTTCAACTCCCAGAATTCCACAGCCAGCATTGCTGGCTGTGGAATTCTGGGAATTGAAGTCCACATGCCTTAAAATTGTCACGGTTGAGAAACACTGTTCTATCCCCTAATTCTGGGGTCATCAGAAAAGTACACTGGCCTAAAATTTACTGCCCCAATTTCTGAGGATATATACTGCTACACAGTAATTAAGCTGATGATCGGTGCCCTCCTTTTTTGTTTTTATCTGGGACAAAGCAAAGAAATTGGTGGATTCCCTTGGTTTCTGTTTCTTTGGCTTCCCTTCCTACCAAACACTGCTCGTCAACTGGAAAATAACTAACAACTTTTGCTAATTTGGATTAGGACAATTAGGTGAGTGTAGGCAGGGGCTTGGAATGGTATAATTAGCCTTCTGTCAAACCGTTCAATTAAAAGAATGCTAAATATATATATTCGAAAATAGTCTGGATGACAGGTCACAGACATGGAGGAGGACAGTAAGCTAAAGGAAGAAAGAGCGATTGAAAAACATGTGAACTTCGTCCTCAGGTAATCTTAAAAGGAATGGTAGTGTCTGCAGCATTAATCCAATTCTGTCCACGCGGCCAGCAGCATCTGGAAGTAGCCTGTGAATGCCCATGAAGCAGAAAAGAGTAGACAAAATAGTGCTAACAGTATGACTGTACAAAAATATGTTGGTCAGAGTAGCAGAAAATCTGTAATGTGTTGAAACTTAACAGAACAAGCAAGATATAGCTTATAGAACCCAGATTTTGTTTCCTGGTTTAAGCTGAATTTCTGGGCAGCAAAACTTGCTTTTTTTTTTTTAATGCCAGGTGCTCTTTCAAGAGTGCTACACTCATGTAAATAAGAAGCCTGCATAAAACCTGGTAAGTGCTTTAGAAAGCACCAATCAGACATTGCACCAGTAAATTCATCGCCAGGGGTCTCGTCTCTTCTGCTACTCAAGCAAAAAAAAAAGATCATGCGAGGCAGTTCTTTATTGGAGGAGAGATGCATGCTGGCGGCAGCTGCCTAAAGTAGCAGTAGAAGCTGAGCAGATTCAGCTTCTGATCAGGTCAGCAATTACTCTGTAGAAAAAATATGTTAAGACAGCATCCTTAGCAAAACTTGTGTCAGGAGAATTACTTTAAAACTGGAACTAAACAGTTTAAGTTACATAAGTAGAATTAAGTAGAACTGGAAATAAGTCAAGATCGTAAGGATACGTACATTGAAAAAATAGTTATTATATTTGTACTGCAGTCAGAATGCAGCAAGCTCGAAGTTATAATTCCACTTACTGAATAGTTTCCCATTATTATTCCAAAGATAAACCTGGGCTATGCATCCTAGCAGTTGACTTATGTACATACTTCAGTCTACATTAACTGTTGGTGTTCCTAGCTCAGTCTTGTCTACTAATGATTTTTCAATCTTCGTTTATTTCTTTTTCTAGGGTATGACTTTAGACTGTGCTGAGGTTTCTTTATCTCGCGTCTTTGAAAGTGGGCAGGCATATGTAGCACTTTCTCGTGCTCGTAGTCTTGCGAGTCTTCGAGTTTTGGATTTTGAAGCCAAGGTAGTCAGAGCTAATCCATGTGTACTGCGATTTTACAAGGAGCTGAAGAGAGACCAATTTTTAAATCAGGTAATTTGTCATTAGGTTATTCCAGAGTAGTACAATTTGGACAGTATATTCCTCTACAGACTGGATACATGGGGGCGCGGGCGGGAGACTCATAGGAGACTAGAGCAAGGTCCTTAACTGACTAGTGGCATTACTGAGGTTTCTGGGTAGAACAGTACCAGACTCTTGAACAATTATTTTTGGTTTGTAGGTCTCTGTTTTTGTAAATGGTATTTTCCATTTGCCCTCATCATCTTTAATAAACTACAGACCACAACTTTACTTAAAGTTTTAACAGAGCAAAGTAGATTTCAGTATAAGGGGCTAAACTGCTTCTTTGGCTGTTTAATAACTTGAGACTTTGTTTGTTTTTACTCTTTAGGCCTCTTTGCATTCCTATATTCATGTTGGTAAAGAAAATGAAAAAGTTAAAGGGACATAAATGGAATCCTTGATACCATTTTATTAATTTACTTTTGGAACAACTGCTTCTACAAATTCAGTATTTCTATGAAGTATTGAAGCATTGTGAAGAAGGGAAGAATTATATGAGACATCGTTTTCTATAAACAGGGACAGTCCATATAGCTAAAATGGACATTTAAGTTTTAACCCAAATCATTCTGTTTCTGGAGATTGCACTGACAGATCTTAAAAATTACTTGAAGCCATCTTGATGAAAGTCAAATTTTGCTAGGATATTTACTTCAAATAGCATTTACACTGTGTGTATAATATTTGACATTACTGAATAAAACAACTTAAAGGACTCAATTACTTCCTTAATAAACCAAATAAGATTTTACCTAATAATCATTATAAATGCGTGATTGATAATTCAATAGCCTAGATTTTTTGCTTCTCTTAATGTACCAATTTTGAGAAAGGTCTTACACTTTTTAGATTGAAAAGGGACACTTTCATTTTCTTTGTACTGTACAGTATTTTATACAGTATGGCTTCTCGAGTTTAAAAGAAAGCCAACCAGATAGAGTGACCTGCATCACATCCTAGTGCCTACAAAGAGATTCTCTGTGTATATTGCATTGCAATTTCAAGAATAGAAATTTGTTCCCTTAGTTAACATAACTTGAAACAAATTCAATTTAAAATCTGAATATCTTGAAGCAAAATCAATTTTGCTACTTAAATATTCCATAGAGGGATAGAATCAAGATCACGTGAAGTATTAATACCACTTTACAATGCTTTGGTAAGGCCACACTTGGAATACTGCATCCAGTTTTGGTCACCACAATGTAAAAAAGATGCTGAGACTCTAGAAAGAGTACAGAGAAGAGCAACAAAGATGATTAGGGGACTGGAGGCTAAAACATATGAGGAACGGTTGCTGGAATTGGGTATGTCTAGTTTAATGAAGAGAAGGACGAGGGGGGACATGATAGCAG